CCCCCCCCCCCCCGTAGGCTATTGAACGTATGGTTATCTCGTGAATATGGAATAATAATATTCATTTTAAACTATGTAAAGCACTCATTTCGAAATAGCATTATGTAAAAATATGCAAATTCCAATATTCTGTAAAAATTTAGTACTTCATAAATTAATGATCAATTTTGACTAGGACTATAAAAAGATTTTGAGGTGATGTGAATGTGTATAAAAACAATAATTTCTAAAACGAATTATTGTCATTATTATCCAATTTGTAGTACACTTCGTGAAAAAGCAATTACCGTTTAATAGTTTCATATTGCGAAGTAATAACAAATAATTTAAATTTCAATAAAAGAAAAATAACGCCCTCAATTTATAATTTCCTATTTCATTTATCATTTAATGCGAAAATTGCAACGAGAAATGTTAAATATAAGGTGTTAAGACGTGACATCCGTGGGAAACAACGTGTTGTCATGTTAACAAATCTTATATAAATTGCCGGCAATGACTATTACACCTTTCATATTTGCAAAAATGTTGACCAAAAAACATTTCATCGCATTATTCCTTACATTCATCTTATATTTTGTAAGTTATTGATAAAATTCTAATTAATATCCAATAAAATCATATACCTACCTACATATAAATTAAATAATTACGATTTGTAAAGGGTTTTCATGGTGCAGGTTTTTGGAGATGCCGTAATACCTTTAAAATACTGCACAAAAAATCCCAAAACCTTTGCTTCGTGTAGAATGAATTATATCTGGAATGACACCATACAAGACTTTGTATCGGTCCTAGATCTATCTCTTAATATCAGTTCTGGGAATGAAAATCCAAAATCCATCACTATAAAGGCAGTTGGAAGTAATGTGGTATGTATCTACCTAAACTATTCAATTAAAAAATTCAATCGTAAACTAATAACACATCTTTACCAGTTCCCACCATACTTTTCAATGTTTAATAATAAAACAAATGGATACGTAGCAGAACTTTTTGACATTTTTCAAGAAAAGATAGGATTTAAGTAAGTTAAAAGTACATATATTTTTTAAATGTGGTCCGATATATGAAATTATAATAACTTTTATGAAAGGGTTGAATTAAATAAAATGGATTACCAAAGTTGTTTGGAAGCAGTTGAAAATGGTTCCGCTGATTTAATGTTAACTGCTGGAGTCGTCAAAGAAGGATCCTATAACACCAAGTTAATGCAACCGTGTATTAAAACCTGGTATACATCCTATTAAACTGATATGTTTGGGAAATGTGTTCGTATTTTAAACGAATAATTTAAGGTACAAACTCTATTTCAAAAGTTTTGGATGGCAACCGACTTCAATGTATTACTTTATCACTTTAACCCCTACAACTTGGTTAGTTATTGGGGCATGTGTTATAATCTTATGCATCGTTTTGTGGGCAACACTGAAACTTCTGGCTAAGTTGGAAAAAAGGCAACGAAATATATCCCTCGCAAGTTGTTTTATAGCAACTATAAGTGGATATTTGAATCAAGGTATTCACAATCTGAATTAAACATCGCTAGCAAAATAGAAATGATGTGATATACGACCTATGTTTTAGGTTTTGAATTTAGGGTGCAAAATGCTTCTTATAGAGTTCAAATAATGACATCGCTTTTATTAGGGTACATTATCGCAACTGCTATCAGTGCCAATTTGGTGGCTAAAATAACAACATCCTATGAATATTTTCCAATTAAAGAGATTCACGAATTGGAAAATCAACAAAAATATGGTTTGTGTATTCGAACTGGAAGTTACGGGTTTAATAATTTTTCACGTTATGTACGTACCTATTGGTGTATTTCATGTAGATAACATTTTAAATAATAAATAATAAAATTTTAGGAAGATGGTAAAAAGCTCCTTTTAGACAAATGGATAAATATCGTAAACGTACCAGAATGTGGAAATGTCAATAAAGAAGAAGTGCTGGTAACTAAACCGTGTAGAGATAACTTGTTTCATTTAGAAAATGTTGTGATAATGGAATATCTATTGGACAACAAAATTATTTCTTGTGAATTAACAGAGTTACCACAAAAGTTATTCAAAACAGACAATTCAATAATACTAAATAAGTTTGCAGAACGCAGACTCAATGACACACTAAATGTAGTGTAAGTTATTGTATTTATCATTGATAATAATTTTATAATGTTTTATTGCTAGATATCTCCAAATGTTGGAGTCTGGTATACGCAATCGAATAAAAAGCCAATGGTTGCAAAGAAAAATTCAGGAAGACAATAAAAAAGTATTATCTCCCGTCACTATGCAACATATGAGGGGAATATTCATATTAAATGTATTTTTTATGTGCATTAGTTTAGTGATTTTGTTATTTGAGATATTGGTGTTTAACGCGAACAATAATTCAAAATCCACAAAACCAAAAAAGTTGCAAAAAATTATAATAAGCAAACCATAATTGCTTACCATTACGTTTAACTTTATTTAGATAAATGCACCATTGCACCTACATTGCAATTGTCGTCAAAATTTTGTAATGGTTCTTTTCAGAAGTCAGAGTCGAAATGTAATAAAAACTATTTCGGCTTCCGTCGTTTTATTTTTTATATACAAATAATAATCTACACAAAGTAGACATCTTATATTCAAAGCCCACCTTTTCCCATCTCAAACAATTCAAAAGCACCCAAAATATTTTCAGAAATAACTCAGCTGAAATTTCTATCCAGCAAATTATTTCTTCAGTTCCATCAAATGATTTCTTTTTACCAACAATTCCCCCATTTTCTCCAACTGCACCGCCTTTAATAAATAACCTTCCACAACCAATCTTCCCCAATCTCAACCAATTTTATCCTCTTTTAACAGTGGTGGGGTATCTCTGATCCCTAGTATATCGTCATCGTACAAAGAAAGTAGTTTCATTACTGGGCCCACAATTTATAGTCAGCAACAGCTCCCCGATAAAGAACCCGTTATATATATAGTTTTTGTAATATATTATGCAATACTTGTACCCATACTACGCGACCCATTTTTTACAATTTCTACCTTCTCGGTGACCACCCGTAGTATATGCCAAGACTTCCCGTCCCCCTCCAGTTCTCACGTAGTAATACATAAATATTGTTTCAAATATTTTATACAAACAGAAATTTTTGAAAATAACTCGAAAAAGCGCGAGATTTCCCTAGAGGATATTGACTACGTCATGAAAATATGACCCCCCCCCCGCCCTTTTGACCAAGCGAGGTAATTCTGAAGATCTCACCCCTCAAGGGTTACGTACTATGTATACGTTCCCTTATCAGCGTTATTTACTCCAACTAGCTTTTCTAAACTTAAAATATAGTATTTAATTTAATTTCATGAAAAAGGTGGCCTGACCCTGTGGCGCCATTAAATGGTGATTTACTGTAGCCACCCCAAGCCACCCCCCTTCCTCANTTTGAGATATTGGTGTTTAACGCGAACAATAATTCAAAATCCACAAAACCAAAAAAGTTGCAAAAAATTATAATAAGCAAACCATAATTGCTTACCATTACGTTTAACTTTATTTAGATAAATGCACCATTGCACCTACATTGCAATTGTCGTCAAAATTTTGTAATGGTTCTTTTCAGAAGTCAGAGTCGAAATGTAATAAAAACTATTTCGGCTTCCGTCGTTTTATTTTTTATATACAAATAATAATCTACACAAAGTAGACATCTTATATTCAAAGCCCACCTTTTCCCATCTCAAACAATTCAAAAGCACCCAAAATATTTTCAGAAATAACTCAGCTGAAATTTCTATCCAGCAAATTATTTCTTCAGTTCCATCAAATGATTTCTTTTTACCAACAATTCCCCCATTTTCTCCAACTGCACCGCCTTTAATAAATAACCTTCCACAACCAATCTTCCCCAATCTCAACCAATTTTATCCTCTTTTAACAGTGGTGGGGTATCTCTGATCCCTAGTATATCGTCATCGTACAAAGAAAGTAGTTTCATTACTGGGCCCACAATTTATAGTCAGCAACAGCTCCCCGATAAAGAACCCGTTATATATATAGTTTTTGTAATATATTATGCAATACTTGTACCCATACTACGCGACCCATTTTTTACAATTTCTACCTTCTCGGTGACCACCCGTAGTATATGCCAAGACTTCCCGTCCCCCTCCAGTTCTCACGTAGTAATACATAAATATTGTTTCAAATATTTTATACAAACAGAAATTTTTGAAAATAACTCGAAAAAGCGCGAGATTTCCCTAGAGGATATTGACTACGTCATGAAAATATGACCCCCCCCCCGCCCTTTTGACCAAGCGAGGTAATTCTGAAGATCTCACCCCTCAAGGGTTACGTACTATGTATACGTTCCCTTATCAGCGTTATTTACTCCAACTAGCTTTTCTAAACTTAAAATATAGTATTTAATTTAATTTCATGAAAAAGGTGGCCTGACCCTGTGGCGCCATTAAATGGTGATTTACTGTAGCCACCCCAAGCCACCCCCCTTCCTCACCGTAGGCTACTAAACATATAGTTATCCAGTGAACATAGGATAATAATAGAAAATGCTATTCTGTCCATTTGAAAGTATGTAGTAATGTGTAAAAATATACAATTTCCAAACAAAAGGCAGTATTCTGTACAAATTTGATCCTTCGTTAATTAATGATTAATTTTGAATAGGACCATAAAAGAAGATTTTTTAATGAGAATATGTATAAAAACAGTAGTTTCCAAAACGAATTATTGTCGTTATTATCCAATTTGTAGCACACTCCTTGAAAAAGCAATTACCGTTTAATGCCTTCATATTACGAACTAATAACAAGTGATTTAAATTTCAATAAAAGAAAAATCACGCTCTCATTTTACAATTTACTTGTTTCATTTGTCATTTTAATGCGAAAATTGCAACGAAAAATGTTAAATGTAAAGTGTTAAAGACCTGACATCCGTGGGAAACAACGTGTTGTCATATTAACAAATCTTATATAAAAGGCCGTCAACAATTATTAAACCGTTCATATTTATAAAAATGTTGACCAAAAAACATTTCATAGTAACTTTTATGAAAGGGTTGATTTAAATGAAATGGATTACCAAAGTTGTTTGGATGCAGTTGAAAATGGTTCCGCTGATTTAATGTTAACTGCTGGAGTCGTCAAAGAAGGATCCTATAACACCAAGTTAATGTAGAATGAATTATATCTGGAATGACACCATACAAGACTTTGTATCGGTCCTAGATCTATCTCTTAATATCAGTTCTGGGAATGAAAATCCAAAATCCATCACTTTAAAAGTAGTTGGAAATAATTTGGTATGTATCTACCTAAACTATTCAATTAAAAAATTCAATCGTAAACTAATAACACATCTTTACCAGTTCCCACCATACTTTTCAATGTTTAATAATAAAACAAATGGATACGTAGCAGAACTTTTTGACATTTTTCAAGAAAAGATAGGATTTAAGTAAGTTAAAAATACATTTTCCGATATATGAAATTATAGTAACTTTTATGAAAGGGTTGATTTAAATGAAATGGATTACCAAAGTTGTTTGGATGCAGTTGAAAATGGTTCCGCTGATTTAATGTTAACTGCTGGAGTCGTCAAAGAAGGATCCTATAACACCAAGTTAATGCAACCGTTTATTAAAAGCTGGTATACATCCTATTAAACTGATATGTTTGAAAAATGTGTTAGTAATTTAAACGAATAATTTAAGGTACAAACTCTATTTCAAAAGTTTTGGATGGCAACCGACTTCAATGTATTACTTTATCACTTTAACCCCTACAACTTGGTTAGTTATTGGGGCATGTGTTATAATCTTATGCATCGTTTTGTGGGCAACACTGAAACTTCTGGCTAAGTTGGAAAAAAGGCAACGAAATATATCCCTCGCAAGTTGTTTTATAGCAACTATAAGTGGATATTTGAATCAAGGTATTCACAATCTGAATTAAACATCGCTAGCAAAATAGAAATGATGTGATATACGACCTATGTTTTAGGTTTTGAATTTAGGGTGCAAAATGCTTCTTATAGAGTTCAAATAATGACATCGCTTTTATTAGGGTACATTATCGCAACTGCTATCAGTGCCAATTTGGTGGCTAAAATAACAACATCCTATGAATATTTTCCAATTAAAGAGATTCACGAATTGGAAAATCAACAAAAATATGGTTTGTGTATTCGAACTGGAAGTTACGGGTTTAATAATTTTTCACGTTATGTACGTACCTATTGGTGTATTTCATGTAGATAACATTTTAAATAATAAATAATAAAATTTTAGGAAGATGGTAAAAAGCTCCTTTTAGACAAATGGATAAATATCGTAAACGTACCAGAATGTGGAAATGTCAATAAAGAAGAAGTGCTGGTAACTAAACCGTGTAGAGATAACTTGTTTCATTTAGAAAATGTTGCGATAATGGAATATCTATTGGACAACAAAATTATTTCTTGTGAATTAACAGAGTTACCACAAAAGTTATTCAAAACAGACAATTCAATAATACTAAATAAGTTTGCAGAACGCAGACTCAATGACACACTAAATGTAGTGTAAGTTATTGTATTTATCATTGATAATAATTTTATAATGTTTTATTGCTAGATATCTCCAAATGTTGGAGTCTGGTATACGCAATCGAATAAAAAGCCAATGGTTGCAAAGAAAAATTCAGGAAGACAATAAAAAAGTATTATCTCCCGTCACTATGCAACATATGAGGGGAATATTCATATTAAATGTATTTTTTATGTTTGAGATATTGGTGTTTAACGCGAACAATAATTCAAAATCCACAAAACCAAAAAAGTTGCAAAAAATTATAATAAGCAAACCATAATTGAGTACCATTAAGTTTAACTTTATTTGGATAAATGCACCATTGCACCTACATTGCAGCTGTCGTTAAAATTTTGTAATTGTTCTTTTCACAAGTCACAGTCGAAATGTAATAAAAACTATTTCGGCTTCCGTCGTTTTATTTTTTGTATAAATAATAATCTAAACAAATTATTAAAACATTAATATTAATGCTTATTAAATTCAGGGTGTCGGTAGGAAAATACTTGTGAACAAAACGATGGGCTGATATTCCATTTATTAATTCTCAAATTTTCGCCAACATTCTTGGCTTCATCGGGAGATCAGTTGTTAATATTATATATAAAAACAATTATGAGTGCTGTCAGCACAGGGCAAAATAGTATTACGTAAATAAAAGTTAGTATCAGCAATTTCTTATGCTGATGAGTACGATGTGTTGCATACCTATTTAAAAACAATTCCTTCAAATTTTAATCATTGATTTCTATACATCTGTTATAAAACCATAATGGCCGACACTAGTGACAATGCGACAACAATTGAAAAAGAATGATGGCCGACAATTGCAACAATTAGAAAAGAATGATGGCCGACACTGCGTCATAGTGGAGCAATAAAAATGACCGGGGCAGAGGGAAGAACTAGTTCATTATTAAAGGCATAATTATTGTTGATGAGTTATATATATGAAATTACACTCAAATCATCATAATAATTTCGGTTGAAAATTTTAAAAGCAATTTATTGTATAATTATTTTTATTATATATAAAATTCATCACATAGTTTACAGTTACAATAATTATGCCTTTAATAATGAATTTACAACATTGATCTCCTCATGAAGCCAAGAATGTTGGCGAAAATTTGAGAATTAATAAATGTAACATCAGCCCATCGTTTTGTTCATAAGTATTTTCCTACCGACACCCACAATTTAATAATTTTTATTTCAACTAGTACGGTAGTCGCTAAGTTCAAGTGTATTAATATTAATGGCGTTTTTAATAAACCTGAATATTTAACGCTCTGTATATGTCGGTGCAACGAAAGAAATGGCTACATATGGTTAAAGGCCGCAATTCATAGAGAACAAGAAGAATTTGTCACTTTTCAGAGAATCAGGTTAGAAAAGGCGTTGTCTATCAAAATAAATATTTGTGTTTGTTAGATTCTAAATAAAATTTAAACGGTTTTAAAAGACATGTTATCTTATTTTATTAATATTTTCTAAACTTTTGAGAGTTATTTAATAAAATAATTGTGTATTCTACTAGTAAAATCAGCCAAACATGCTTGTTCATATTATGTGAATCTCAGTGCCAAGCTGTTCCAAAAGATAAATTGTGTAGTTTTAATTAATCTTTTTAACTAAGAAAATGATTCTTGGAGGCAGTCCTAGTCGTGAATCAGGGGTGGTTAGTGATTGTGACACCATGGCTGAGCTAGCAGCCCTACTTCGGGCAGAAATTCCCGAGGGTAGAAATAATTTGACTGATAATCACACCAATTTGGAACGTGTTGCTGAGTACTGTGAAGCAAATTATTTTCAATCAGAAAATAAACGGGTTGCTTTAGAAGAAACCAAAAATTACACAACTCAATCTCTGGCTAGTGTTGCGTACCAAATAAACACTCTTGCATATAATTTTTTGCAATTACTAGAATTGCAATCGGCACAATTATCAGAAATGGAAAGCCAAATGAATCACATTTCACAAACTGTTATGATCCACAAAGAAAAGGTTGCTAGGAGGGAGATTGGTGTATTGACTGCTAATAAATCAACAACAAGACAATATAAGATTATTGCACCAGCTAACCCAGAAAAGCCCATTAAATATGTTAGAAAACCGATTGATTACTCGGTATTGGATGATATTGGACATGGTATTCACAGCAGTGGAACCCCACGACAGCCAAAGCAAAGGGGCACAAGTCAGGGCAGTATTCAGTCATTAACAAACAATGCTGTTGGTCCAGCACCAACAACAAAACCTCCAACGCCACCACAAGTCTCCCGGTCTGGAAGCAAAGGTTGCCCATCATGATATTCAAGTTATTTTACTTTTTCTAAGATTTATTTTGTTTTCAGTGGCTGTATCTGGTGGAACATTGAGTAAAGGTTCCAGAGAATATCGTACACCCCCTGCAGTAGCCCCACCTCAAGTACCTAGTCATTATGCACCTAATTACCCCATAGGTCATGCTAGGCGTGAACGGGGACCTGGTTATAGTACTTTGCCAGTTAATACCAACTCTCACCAGGGGGCTCCTTCTCCACAGATTGGAATGGTTCATCCCATGAATGTTTCTCAACAACACCAATTAATACAAAACCACAACCATCAGCAACAGCCTCAACAACACCCTCAAACTCCTCCACCTCCCCCTCCTCCTGTTTCCACCTCATATGTTCCTGATCATCATTTAAGTATGCCACGTAAGTTAGCATTTCAATAAAGAAAAGTGGCTTCTTTATCATATGTGTGATTGACTTTTCCTTTCAGCTCCTCCTTCACCCCTTGTGACAGCACATGAAATGAACATCCCTGATATTTCCCACCACCAATCGATGATGGTGTCCCATCACAATCCCATAGCCCATGGTGGGTTAGGCTTGAACACTCTTTCACATCACCAGAGGATGACTCGTAGCAGTGGTGGAAACCACTCTCCACCATTGCCTCCTCCACCACCTCCAGAAGACGAAAACGAAGCATTCGGAAGACCTAGGTCTTCAGGTGTGATGCCCATTGTTCCTGACGAGGAAGATTTACCCGGATGGGTACCTAAAAATTACATCGAAAAAGGTAAACATTACAGCGATAAACAAAGAAATAAAAACAAAAAAATAGTTTAATAAAAATCATAGATAAAAATTTGTTCAAAAGGTAAGAATTAGTTTAATTTGACGCGATGGTTATTTTTTAACGATAAAAAATCGATTGGTGGATTGACCGAATCAAAGATCTATCTTTTGACTTAATCGAAAATTAATCCCTATTCAACTGTTTAAAGTTGAATTTTTTTGTTTACAGTCGTGGCCATCTACGATTATTATGCTGATAAAGATGATGAACTGAGTTTTCAGGAAAGTTCTGTTATTTACGTATTAAAAAAGAACGATGACGGTTGGTGGGAAGGAGTCATGGATGGGATAACAGGTTTATTTCCTGGAAATTATGTCGAACCTTGTGTTTGAATATTAAAAAAAGAATGGGGGATGAATAATAATACGTACCATTAGTGGTTTTATTTATTTAATACACATTTCGTTGAATTTTTTTTTGTAATTTTAGCGCTTTAAAAAAGTAAGCATTAGATTAAAACCAGATATAAGCATTTATAATAATTACAAT